TACTTATATGACCGATGGGGGTTGATGGGATGTATTAGAGTGGGAAGGTTGCGCTAAGTACTACCCGCCAGGCAGGCACCCCTCCCATGGTCAGGGGCGGGAGGAGGAGGAGGAGGAGGGGTTGGTAAGCAGGAGGTATGGTATCATACTCGTAATTCTAAAGTGTTCATTTTGTTTATTTTTATTTTTATTTAATTTTTTTAAAAAAAAGTGCCCCCACCGCATATTATCACCAAAATTTGTCCCATTTCCCCCGGGTAAACGGGCGGTAGTATGTACATGCAGTATCAATTCCCTTCCCCCCCCCCCAAAAAAAAAAGCTTCGACACCACCACAAAAAACCAGTATAGCAGCACCCGCACCCCTCCGGAAAATGTGTAAAATGCTTGTATGGAAAATTCTACTATAGCAGATTGTCACCCTTTCCGTGGGATGCCCGACGCTGACGCATATACTGTGGAGAAAAACTAACTTCTGGCAATCCACACACACACTAACTATGATATGATATAGTATTTTCTCCGACAGCGGCCTTCAGTCTCTGATTTCCCCCAGAGGGAAGGATCAGCATGCCACGGTAGGGTATAATATCTATCCCGCGAGCCCTTCCGAGGCGTTACATCTCACCGACCGGCACTTGCGATTCCGATACATATCCTGTCGAACTGAATGAAGCCTCTCATCTCGTCGGCGGGCCGAGAGGTGATCTCCTCTGGGAAAACCGCTAAGTTAGGGAACGATTCTTGAGTTACATACAAACGTTATTAAATTCCGATATCCGAACAAAACAAAAAAAGGTGTACGATAATATTTGTTGAACACACACATTTCGAAGCTTCTGACTCGTTCCTTCTTCTTCTTGCTGGGGATGCTCCCCCATCCATCCATCCATCCATACATCAATCCATCCATCCCGGCAGCTGACTAGCACAAGTATGATATTACGCCCACTAAAGAAAAGGGCTATGGGCAAAGGTGATCACAGCTAGACTGGTTGACAAAATAGCCGCGCGGGGAGTCGAGGAAGGGGGGAAACGGACTTTTAAGGATATCCCGGGTGCTGGTGATTCCAGTATTTCTTGCCATAGGACATATAGTACATTATGGGTGGGTACTTACAGTGCGGTGGAGAGGAGAGTGCAGCTGTCATGTCATTCCGAGCGGATAATCTCCGTTTCCAAGGATCACGGTATCCGTCAGCTGTCCGATAATATCGAGTGATCATTCATGAACACATAAGTAGATGACATTTCCATGACCAAAGATGCCCAGCGTAGTATTGTATCAATACTTCCATTGCTGATCCATGAAGGAGGCACCCTCCCTTCCCACTCCTTTTCCCTGAAAAACCCCTGTCCGTCTCTCTCCTAAGTATCGTAGAAGAATGCCGGTAATGGAAATAAACGAAGAAACAAAAACACCGGAACCCCAATAACCAACCCCCCCACCCAAAGAAATTTCTCGGATTACGATAAAACAAAACGGGATCCAAAAAGCCAAAAGTTCCGTCCCAAGAAATGGTAAAATACTAGTGATAATAATAATCCTAATAGTAACATCCATAGAGAGAATAGTCCCCCAGCGCAAGAGAAACTGCAGCGGCCAAGGGAAGCCATACCTATCAAAGGTATGATGAACAGAATAAACGACGATTAAAAAAGAGAAAGAAAAAATTTACTCCGCTAACTCAAACCTTATCCCCAGAGACCTTCAAGACCCTACCAGGATTCTGTCCTCCCCGTTCCCGAGCACCCCGCGGGCCCATCCTGTGCAGAGTATCACAGCAATCCGTGCCCAGCTTCCGACAATTGCAGGTTGAGGTGTCGGGGATCGGGAAGGGTGGGGGTGTGTTTGGATACCCGTCCGGGTAAGGGTACGGATACCCTATTGCCAGCGTTGAGGGGAGGACGCCTGGGTTTCGGTAGCTTTCTGTTGGCCAACTCTGAGGGCGATTATTAGCATTGCCCCCCCCTTTTTTCTTCTTAAGAGAGGGTAAATTGAGGGAGACTCTTACAATTACTGGAGTGGGCCTCCTTCCAGGCTCGCTGGAGGAGCTCTTTGATGGCATGCAGCCCATTGTGATAGTTAGGGATCTGTTAACCCGAGTAGATGAGGTATTATAGGCGAGCAGGTGGAGGTGGGATCCAAGTCTTTTCCTTTCCTCGGAGGCTGTTTGGTATGGTCCTGTATTGTACTGTATTGTATTTTACAAATCGCAAGAGCGTGATTTCGGATGTGGAGTGAGAATGAATGCTCGTATATGAATGAACGAATACACGTATGCGAGTGTGTGTGAGTAATGTGAGTATGTAAGTATGTATGAATGTGAGTATATACCGATCTCTCCGCTATCCTCTATCCCTCAGAGTGACGAGGGAGGAGGGGGGGGCTCGCGAAGCTGCTCTTATATCAACTACCCACTCCCAGCTGTGATACGAGTATCCCAACTCGACCCGGTAGGACCCGGACCATATGTCGGGGAGGACAGCGTAGGGAGATACCGGTAGCTGCAGTAGGAGAGACCCCGTAACGTACAAAGCCGCCCTACCCCTTGCATATGTCTTTGGAACGTAAAGACGTTTGCTCCCTCCAATCCAGCAAGAAGAGGCGTTGGGGAGGCAGGTACTAGCATGCCCGCCTGTCCGCCTACCTACCTACCTACCTACCTGCAGCTGGGCACCGGTCTGACGTCCTTTGAGAAAGAGCCCTGAACTCGTTTTTCGTCAAGACACACATCCTTGGTTTTTAATCGGAGGCGCAGGGAGGAGGGCGATAGTGGGAAGCAGTTCAGGGCCGTTTGCTAGGTCTGGGACCCCCGCACTGTACCCGCTATCAGTCATCCGCCCAATGTTGCTAGAGGGGCTGCATCTGTGCAAGATTGACCACCAGAGAGGGCTTTCTCGGCGACAGTTGCCATTTTAGACCTTAAGTTTCTTTCTCCAACCAATTTCCTCGCAACTCTGGTCTTGTAGAAATATATATATATATACCGTATATATTCTACCGCCATCTGCCGTGAGGTAACAAGAAAACACTAAACTCTCTGCTCGAGAATTGCCGGCCGGTGGTTACTTTGCTTTGCTTTGGTCTTACTTTGCACGACCGAGTCCGGCTTTCTTACTATGCTGGGTGTACTATATCCCAAGGATCTCCACGGCCCACTCACTAACTCACATGAAAGGCACCCACCACCAACCGGCCTTGGCTCGAAAGTAGATAAGCCTTAAATATCCGCGGTACGCAAGCACATACGAGCCCCGAAGGCCCCCTGGGACCAGATGAAAACAAAAGAAAGAGGGAAATGTATACAGTACGCTGCCATACGCAGCCAGCCAGCCAACCAGCCAGCCATACGGGGGGTATCTAAGACATTCCGCCGCCCCGCGGATCCGACTGAGTCAAATCCAGCTCTGTGGCATATTTGATCGCCGGTCGTACAGTTAACACAAACAACGATGCTTTTAGTAGGTTCACAACACAGCCAAAAGCTGTTAGATTATGATACCAGTACAGCCGCCTTTTGATCAGTGGAGCACCTGACTGTTGTGATGACCATATCAGGATCTGAGGGAAATAGTTGCAGTTTTGAAGCCTGTGTGAACTCCTGAAATCAGAGAATTTCGAAATAAATACTGGTAAGACTGTATATCAGCTGCCATACAAACCCTGGGCGCTTAAACTGAATTCCTTAGCTCTTCTGCGCAAGCCATTCGGTAGCAGGAGGTCTCCGGGTCCACCAATAGGTGAATAACAAGACATAGATCCCTAGATTCTTTGCTGCTTGAACACATGGTTTCGTGGGGGTTCATGGGAGGTTGGAAGGGTAGACCTGAACCGCTGGTATCCATCGTTCCCACTATTTTGGCGTAGTTCCGCTGTGTCAAGGCGAAGTACAGGGGGTGGCCAACTATGAGTTATGTCCATGAACTATGCCCTCTCTCCCTTCCACCTTCTTCCTGTACGCACGCACAAGTACAGTACCGTGTGTATGATACGAGTACCATAACAGCATCTCTCAGTGCTAGGAGCAGAGCGGCGCGGGGGATGCACATGTGCGTGGTTTTATGTGCAGCTATCCGTGGTTCATGATACCGGTAGTACACTAGGCAAATAATACTGGGACTGATTAGTTAGTAATTAGGTTGGCTAGTGATGGTATATCCTTCCCCTGAACCCACTCCCTCCCCTCATATCAATATCCAAATACCGCCATTCTTTCCCTTTCCCTCGGACCCTAGCCGATCTCAGGTAAGCTGCACCTTTTGGATTCTCTCGACGTCAAGGGAAGAAAAAAACCCCTAAAAAAAACCCACCTTCCATACAGACGTCCAATTGTAATACCACACGAGCACGAGTAGCGTACAGTCCCGTACAGGACTTTATTCCTTCCCCACTCTCGGATATTGAAAATCCCGATTCCAGACTAGCCCCCCCCCCCCCAGCAGACACCGTAATGCAACGCGGTGCCCTAAGTAAAAGATCCGCTCAGAGTTTAACCCCCCTCCAATAAGCTACAGCACGAGACCTGACCCATCCCCTCCTTGGACATGCCTCAAATACATGTGTCACAATCAATCATTCCTATCCATGGTTTTGGTCTGAAAATCTCCCGCCCCCTGTCTTCCCCGGTCCCCACCGCACCAATCCATCTACCCATGATTCTAGGCGCCATCTTGCTGTTTTTTTTCCCTTCCTCCCATCCTCTTTCCCTTCTCTCCCGTCCTGCAAGATTTGATAGGCCTCTGGAGGAGCTGCATCCCACAAACCCCGCAAAGCAATAGATCCGGCGATTCAGGAAAAGCCCCATCCCCCCTGCACGGCTGTTGCTGGCAACTACCTAACAACTACCGATAGGGCACAAACCGTCCTCTCGCTCCCCTGCTAAGTTCTGTTCTCCTTCAAAAACCCATAACATGACAGAACACCGAGACATGTTGGGAAGCATAAATTCAAAATAACAATTGCCACCGTTTTTCGGTTGCCATAGAGTACGTATTTGTAAGCCGCAGAGTACTGTACTCGAGTACAGTATGAGCAGGTAGGTAGGTAACCAAAAAATTCCCATCTATTCAAACGGCTTAGTGCTGTCGTCGGTTCAATCCGCAAATGCGGGTTCTACAGATGTCCAACGCAAAGGCGAAGTGACCACCCGAACTAGCCATGACCCGTCTAGCGGGTTAACTATGTATCGTCACAAGACCAACTTTGTGTAGAGTGCCGGTATGACAGACACCAAACTTCAGCAGATAATTCCCAAAGGAGAGGTTCAAGTACATTTGTTTATATCAAAGGTTCCATTGCATAACGTTTATTTCAAATCGGAAAAAAGCTAGTAGTGCCAGAACAAAATACCCCTTTTTCCTGCAAGCAAGCGCATCAATAGACTATAGCACTGGAGAAACCGTAAAAAAAAAAGAGGGGAAAAGGGCCTCCAACAAATATGTCAAACCTTAAACATCCAGCCGCCCGTCCCAAGATTAACACTTTTTCCATTAGTGATTTACTTATCTAGTTCCGGGCAGCTCTTCAAATGAAAGCTCTTCAGCTTCACAAATGCCTCGAAACCAAACTTGCTCAGAGTTACACCTCTGCCCGAATCCTTCCAACCGGTCCATGCAAGATCCTATGTATGATGCAATTTCACCGGTCAGCCAGAGACATTATCACACTTTTAAACAATAAATTCACACGTGAGATGCAGCAAAGATTAACTCAATAAGGCGAGGAAGGGCAATTCCACAGAACAATGAAACCAACGGCTTTTCCGTTGCTCCCAAAAGCAGAATTTGTCACCGAAGCATCGATTGAGAAGGGTGAGTTCTTGGGCAAACAAAGCATTTACATAGCCATAAAACATGACCTGTAACAACAATACACAGAGAACAAGGTCCCAAAAAGCAAAGTAACAGGAAAGGGATCTACTCGAGTAGAACGTACCGGACTAGGATAATCGCAGCGATTAACGAATACTGTGCCCGCTTCAACCCGTTCCACCAACCGTTCACCAATCTCAGCGTCCTTGGTCCAAATACTAGCCGTTAGGCCAAATCGCGAGTCGTTCATCAACTTTACAGCCTCTTCGTCGTTGGATACTTTCATGACAGGAACCGTAGGCCCGAATGTCTCCTCGGTCATGATCCGCATGCTGTGGTCGCACCCAGCCAAAAGCTCTGGTCTAACAAATGTTTCACCCAATCGGACACCCTCAGCAAATACTGATTTCGGAGTAAGATTTACGGCCCCTCTAGCCTCCGCATCTTTGATATGTTCGGAAATGGTCTTCGCAGATCTGGCTGAGACAACAGGACCAATCTGCGTGTTCTTGTCACGTGGATCCCCGAGCTTGTAGCCTTCCAAGACCTTGACCGCCGCTTTTAAGAAATCGTCATAGACACTCTCATGAACATAGACCCGCTCAATCGAGCAGCAGCTCTGGCCGGAATTAAATATTGCACCATCGACTATGTTTTCCGCAGCCCAAGTCAGGTTCACATCCGGACGAACATAGGCTGGGTCTTTCCCTCCAAGCTCGAGCCCGACGGGGACAACTCTTGACGCAGCTGCCTTCTGGACGGCAACTCCCCCAGACACGGATCCTGTGAAGGCTATTGAGCGGATATCCGGATGAGAAACAAAAGACTCGAGCGTCTTAGGGGCCCCACAGTGAACTGTCTGCAATACGTTCTCCGGGAGGCCTGCCTCGGTGAATATCGAGACAATGTGTTCGGCCACTGTTGGTGTTTGCGGGGACGGTTTCAGGAGTAAGGTATTCCCAGCAAGGATAGCTGGGACAAGCGAGTTTATTAAAATAAGGTACGGGTACTAGAACTCCCCAATCAGTTATCCGCCCCCATGAACTTCCAAAAATGGCAATCTGGATGGACACCCGCTAGGGGATAGATAGACTCACGTTCCAAGCGAAGATTACCAAGATCTACAAGACCCAAAGAGTTAGCAGGAATTATAGCGATCCGGTCCGAAACCCAGCCGGGGATTTATTGACGTGAATATTAGAGAGGTCCTACCACTCCCAAAGGCTCCTTTCGAATGAACCTTCTAAATCCCTCCTGCTCTTCACCGGGGGAATCCCGTAAGACCTCGTCTGAAACCTTCAGGAGGTATTCCGCCCTCATTCTCGCAGTCGATATCTCCGAGCCAGTGTAAGCGATGGGTCTCCCCATCTGCTCTGTCAATTCCTGAGCTAAGAGATCACTCTTTCTAGAAAGGATTTCTAAAGCTTTCTTGACGACCTCCTGCCGCCTCTTCAAAGGATGGGTGTGGCGAAAGGTCGAGAAGGCATGGCTGGACTTCTCAACGATCGACAGGAAGTCTTCGGGTGAGACTCCCTCTCGGATCAGCAGTGGCTGGCCGGTTATAGGAGAGATTGTGGTTATGATTTCCTTGCCCATCGTGGAGCGTTGTTAAAAAATGTTGAGCTGAGGAATGCCGTGCTCGTAAAGAGAGTTTGCTTTTGGTCTCGGAGGGTCCAGAACGCAGGGAGGGGTAAACCCACGCTAACGGCAACCACGTTACACAATTCCCAGTGCTCCGAAAATTGGTCCCGAGACAGAATTATACTCGAGTACCGGCACCGATGTCACGCGTGCCTCCAGTCGTCCAGTCGGACGGCCGTCGACTGCAGTCGACTAAAATTGGCCAGTGCACGAGGTGAAACACACACTAATGCTAAAATGCACGTCCACTCAGCCACTGCTCAGCCACATGAGGATGACCATAATATCATACTATCATAGCAAGGCCAAACATATCATAGTACCGTAGCAGATTATGTAGCCCGAGTGTGGTCCGACGGCCGTCCCAGCCTAGGACGGCCCAGTCCGTCCAAAGGCGAGACACTCCAGTCCCTTGGCATCCTCACCCCTTCTTGGGCGGGCTGGACAACTGGAAGCACTGCCGATGTGTGCAGTACCGGTACATGTAGTATGATACGACTACGGGTAGGCCGCAGGCTGCTGGTGCAGTATTATACGTACCAGTGCTGATTCTCCCGCAATACCGCACTCCACCTCGTACCATACCATACCATTAATTAGGCCGACCATTTCCTCGAACGATTTGCGCTTCACCAGGAAACCCACATGAAGTTGGGTTTGATAGAACAAGTATTGAAATAGCATCTTCCTTCAGCACTACATACACTTCAGGCCCTAGTTCACAACTGGTATGATACCCTCAGCAGTTCACCAGTTCACCAGCAACGTTATTTCATAACGCCCTGACCTTGGAACCAGATTTCCTCGAAATGGTGAAGTCCGTGATAGTCCATTGTTCTTCGCCCATCCGGCCCCTTATGATAGTAGAGGCATCCTCACTTCACATTAAGCCCAAGAACCCTTCCACACCCTAAGCCAATGGCTAACTTTCAATAAACACACGGGTGGAATAGATCGGATGAAGTGATTAGCCTGCGGATTCCAAGATACACTACCCAAAAACCAAACAGATGCACCAAAAGACTACATTGAAATTAGCGCCTCGCCCAAATGATACGCTCACTTTCAATCCACTCGCTTAGCTTCTCGCCTCTCTCCCTAGGGCCCCAGTTATCACCATTCTTCCCTCTGTATACCTTCTTAATATCCCTCACCAGGTCCTCGACGTCGCTCCCTCCATCACAATCCTTCCATCTGCCTCCGTCCCTGACGCACCGAGTCTTCCCATCAACTCTAACGGTACAACTTGTCCCCGCTCCGAGCGCTCTACTTCTCTCCACGCTCTTTCTCAACATGCTTAGCCCACCATCAGGTCCCATATCCGACGCACACTCATTTAACTCTCGGAAGTCAATTCCATTCTTATCCGCGCATCCTTCAACAAACCCCGGCTCCGGGATATTTCTGTAATCATGTATGAGGCAAAGAGAGAAGGGTAGGTACGTATGCGAAGGTGGAGGCAAAGGGGGTGAATTGATCTTTGCAGCACAGAGATGTAGAACATTGCCAAGGCATTCCGAGGGCCCGTGCATACAAGATACACCACCATCCGCTGTAGGTCTAGAAATCTTGGTCAGCGAACACCAAAGAAAGACTGGGGGACAAAAAAATACCGTCCAATGAAGCTCATTTGGAAGTCCACCAATGACTCGATTTCCTCGAGCGCGGGTGCAATGAGCCGTTCCAGGCAATCTCTGGCATCCGGACATTTAGACATTATGTGGATCTCGAGTGGAACTTTGGTCCCGCCAGCAAGACTCGGCGCTCCCAGTGAGTGCTGTTTATCCGCACCATGGCTCGGGGGATAGTGTAGATAAGAAGCTAGGGCTCCAGGGGCAGGAATAGCGATATAGGAAGGATAGAGAACCGAGACAACAAATATGAACAGGATAGCCACGCAAGAAGACATGGCAAGGCCACAGAATTGGTGAAAATTGAAGGAAGGGGGCCGGGCAGAGGAAGTAGGGAGTGGAGGAGGAGAGCTGGGAAGAAGGTGTCGGGTTGTAACGCTCCATGCGACCGGGGTATCATAATGACGTATCACGGGGATCAGGACAAGCCTCTTCTCCTGCCCTGGTCACAACAAGATCACTCGGACAGAAGATCACTCTGCGCCAACAATAAACAATATCATAATATTATCATACTGGGATAAGTATTCACCTGTACGCACCACACAGTCTCATGATTATCAGAAAGAGAATCTTCCGTAACGATTATAAAGTTTTTCCGTTCCAACTGTCCTGGCTGTTTTGAGGACTGCCCTGTAATATAGTCTGGAGTCTAATGATACTCGAGTACACTCCCGCATTCCACACAGTGGCTCAAACTCTATCCAACACATGGCTCAAGCCGAGGAAAACAGCCATCGCTATCCGGCCATGAGCCCCGTGTCAGGATAGTGTACCAGAGCAGAACAGCGATGTGGCTTGATGTGGCGCCCAGAAACAGTACTGGTGTGTTTGCTTTTTCAGGGTCCTCGCCAAGCTCAAAAAGTGTGGCTCCATGCAATACCAGTATCATAGCTTAGTCTACTTGTCATCAAGCTAAGCATTCACCACCATCACCACTGCCATGAACAGCACAAAATCATGACGAATGTGACTCCTATATTCAACGAATTTCTTTCCACCCATCCAGCAGTCGCCGTGATCCCCCCAGACCGCAAGCCCCCTCCACCCAAAGATGAGTTTCTCAGGGAGGCATTCCGAATCGTGAGGGCGCACTCACTTGACGTAGCCAGAAAGTCTCGACAGCTAACTCAAAAATTCTAGGAATCCCACACATCATCTTTAACGAAATACCTTCTTTCCATTCGACAAGCATATCTCTCTACAACCTCCGGTCGGCCGAATCCTTCACGGATAACCGCCTCCAGCTCCGCCTCGCTACTTGCTCGTAGGAATCAGTCGGCGACGCTGACCGATGCACAACGCGACACCATCGATGCGGAGACGAAGGGTGTTATTCGAGAACTTTTAGCTGTTATATCCCGGTTAGAAAGCACTGAGAAAGTCAGGGCGCAAACGGAAGAAGCGCTGCTTCGAAAACGCTACTCTTCCGGCCTGCGTGGTATCTTTCGTGACGAGACGGAGGAGCGGGAAAGGGAGGAGGAGAAACTTAGGACACTGAGCGTCCATAGAGGGGGGGTACTATGGTTACTAAAAACACGATTGGAGAAAGCCAGTGAGTTACAGAGAGGGCAGCAGGAAATTCGGCTTCAGCGACAGGTCGAAAGAGGGAAGAGCATCTTGTACAAAGCCCCGTCCGGCATTCTACCGCCGACCCACATGAGTATGCCAGTAACCAGCCCTTCTAAGTCTGTTGCCTCGGCCGGGAGGAGGAGTGTCGGGCTGGAAGACGAAGAACGGAAGAATATAGAGAATATCCTTACGGAAGAGCAGCTTCAGCTTTTTGAGAGAGAAAACGGAGACTTGATGAAACATTATGAAGACACTCTGGACCAAGTCAGGTAAGCTCTTGTTAATACTTCTTTACCGTCAGACACAAAGCTGACCACCCCCCTCCCCCCCTCAGGTCGGCAGAGAAATCCCTCATTGAAATATCCTCTCTACAAACTCAGCTAGCGACGAACCTTGCTGCCCAGAATGCACATATAGACAATCTCGTTGCTGACTCAATGTCCACCGTTGAGAACATCCAAAGAGGGAACAAAGAGTTGAAGAGGGCGGGTGAAAAGGTCTCGATAGCTAGGTCGGCGTTCTGGGGCGCCCTAGCGTTTTCCGGAGTTGTTATCATTTGGGATTGGTTCATATAATTTCTACAATAATTTACTTTTTTTACTCTTGGGACAAGGGCATTACACAATTATTCACCCCATGCCAATTTGTATTCTTTGCTTGGTGGTTCGTGTTTCCTCCGTTCCCGGTGGTTACAGACCCAATGGGCAATGGGCTAGACCTACAAGAATGGGCCAGTAAAATAGTAGTGCATTTAGAAGCTAAGGGCCAGCAATCATACAGCCGGGCGGAATGCTCGATAAATAAAAAGGCTGAAGACTTGGAACTTCTCGGGGGTGCAATGAAAATCCGAAAGCTACCTTGGCCATCCCATAGTACCAGGCCGGGGACTCAAAGTAGCCATGTTCACAACATTTATAACACCACCTCTATTCAATCAATAAAACCCAACTTTGCCTACATATCTAAGAGAACTTTTCCTTTCAGGTTATTACGGACAAATATCTCATTTTGGGGGATGTCTATTGATTGAACAGCACAGGTGACATTGGGTCTTGGCCATCCTCGTATGTATGGGAAGCTGTGGCTTTTTGACCATTTCTCAGCCACTATCAGGTACTTCTAACTGCCAAAAATGGCAATCTACCTCTGCTATCCAAAAGCATTTTGTGTATGAAAAGTTTAGACGGTTCCGGAGCTTGCACTTAGTATCTCTTGCATTTTTAGGCAACCCGGAGGAGGGGATTCAAGTACCATACCGGTACTTGAAGCCGGCTACTTTTGGTGATTCTTGTCTCCAGCCCCGTACAGTACTCGTACCCGTAGCTTCCAAATAGTTGATTTATGTCTTGGTGTGCCATTTTCCCACTATCCCTTTATTTCTGAGGATCCCCGATACCATTCATTGAGCCAAATTTACCGTTCATCCACTCAGCCGCCTTCTGGCCCCTGCTGCCCAAATAGCGCACGATACTGCTGCTACCGGGCTCAACAGGATCATCTGCAAGCCCATAACGAGAGGAATAGTTTATTGAAGCCAAGGAGCTAAGGGGAACATAATGGCCGGGTAATTCGTGCCCCTTGCATGTGTAGGGATGACCACCCATGACCTTTCCCGGGCTTGCGGCTCTTATGTCAACATCTCATGCCCGACTTAGCATATAAGCCTGCTGAGCCTGTTTCTCCCATCAACAGCTCGAGGAACAGCAGTCAACAACACCCCACCCGGCGAAAACATCACTCAAGTTTCAGTAGAGGTGGAGGGGAGGATCGGTTCTTTGAGAGATATACCAAGAGGCTTTTCTCTTCTTAACCATCTCCCTCACTTCTTCATCTGGGCATATTAGCCAAACTCGTTGGCAGGTTTTGCTGGTCTGTCCCCCACTTTTGCAGCGCACTACGTGGTCACTTCTAGCAGTGACACCCATCGCCACGATTACCATTGCCTCTTCGGAAATACTACTTCACCAACTCTCACGAGACGCGCCGTCCATACGCACTCCCCAGTTCCAAGGATGCCATTGACCGACGAACCTCCCCTCGTCCTGTCACTGCACTGGTCGGACGGTGTCACAACATGGCAGGACGGCGCAAATGGTCCAACAGATGAAATGCTAGATACATCACCAGATGGCAAAGGCGACCGAGACTACTTTCGCCCCGTAGAGCGCAATAGCCCCAAGGGGTTTCACTGGCTTCAGAAATTAGCGATGTGGTTAATGGAAACTCAAGACCCGGAGTACTTCAAGGGGAGAAGGTTTATTTTGGCTGATCTACCAACTGGCTACCGGCTCTACGAACATGTTAGGGTGCCAGGGCCCGTGAGTTCTATCCCTGACCCTTTTTGCCCGGCCCCTTCAGGTTTTGACTGACCTTGCACAGAACTCAATGACAAAGGCGCGTACGGACACATACCTCTACGGCCATCCTAAAGGTCCCCGAAAACGCTTCAGATCGATTGCGGAATTTAAACAGCACTTTCTATGGTTGGCTTCCGACACGGAGAGGAACCCCAAGAACTGCGCGTGCAAGATGTGCTGTGGGAAGGGTGAGGTTACTGCAGAGCCAATTGTGGATAGCTCGGCTCAAACCTCGGCTATGAGCACAAGGGGCGCTGTCGCCAGAGAGCGAGCTGCTGCCACCGTGCAAACCGCATCACCTAGAGCAAAGGTCACTAGGAGAACTGTCGCGAATGCAGCCCTAGTTGTAGCAGCCCCCGCCCCGGCAGCTCCCACAGCTCCTCACCAATCGACGGCCACAACAGTCAGCACTCGCTCGAGCAGCTCTACACCTACCCTCCCGACCCCTGTCCCGTTCAATCAGCACCATATGTCCTCTTCATATACCGCTGCGGAACGTGAGATTGATGCCACCCGAAGTGAAGACATTTTCCGCCCCGGTGAGCTAGTTTGGTGCCACTGTACGGAGGCTTGGTCTTTGGGCGTTATTGTAGCCCGACCCGCCCCGCCCAAGTCGCCCGGTTATACTGTCCAAGTTTTAAAGTCTCCATTAGAAGCTGAGATGTCTAGACCCTACCCCAGAATTACACTCAGAGGATTAAGGCCTTGGCTTGCCTGGAGCACTCCCGAAATCACAATACCATCCCTGCGCCTTGTCCTGGATTTTGAATCCGTAAATTGGCAGCAATTCCGAGATATTCGCGGTCTTGAAGTTGACGCTAGCATTTTAAAGTCAAGGGATATCGATACGTCTTACTGTCTAATAGATAAGATTGACTACCCCTATGCGAATTTCTATACCGGCGTCTTCTACGGAGCCGAGAAGATCTGGATAGGAGAGATTGTCAGGTTGAAAAGGCACGCGGCGCCGCATGCAAACTTGACAGGCCTCGAAATCATGGTAGTAGTGAGCATTCAAGACCACCGAAAACAGCCCCCAAACAAGACAAGAACCGGCAGCACGGACATCATGATACAGGGCGATATCTACGAATTCGTCACCTACCCATCATCCACCTCGCCGCCACCACAAATCCCCCAGTGGCTCCCGCCAAGACTAATCATAGAAACCAAACTCAAGAACGAAGCAACCTCGCGCGCCCAAAATCCAACAGTGGGTACCTGGCGCTGTATTCAGAACGGGTACTCGGTAAAACTGGAGGACATCAAGGGGAGGTGGTACGAGTCCTCAATCCTCATACCGGAACTCAAAGGCCGTCACAAATTCCAGCAAGATGTGCAAAGTGGGAAATGGGATGAATTGGCAACTCAGATGAATGAGATGGGAAACGCAGGGCAGGCTTCTGCTCGTGGATGGCTGAGGCACGCTAGGCGGGATGAGGCCCTCACGAAAGCCGTCCCCAGAGGCTTTGTCCTCGAGAAGGATCCCACCATGAATAGCCAGGGCGTGCAACCTGGATTTGCGGTTCAGGTCCCGGCGCAGCAGCCCCCAGCTGCAGCGGGCCCAGCAGGAATGGTGGACTTGACCGGTGGAGATGATGACTATGCGCCTCAGGAGGACCAACAACCCAGCGATGATGAGGCACTCACAAGGCAGATGGAAGCGGATGTCGCGAGTTTTTTTAGAACGGAACCTGTGGATTCATTTTACGGCAGCTTGTAGGGGGCAGTGAGATATCTTTTCTCTTTTTTTCCTTCCGCTTTTCTTTCCCCCAGGTCTACGATATTCCCTACAAGAGACTTATCTCTACATGTTCGAGCGATTCGCGCGATTTTAAAACTCTTACCCCCATATGTATTACCACACATTTTCTTTTATCTCTTCACCTTTCTTTCTTCATTGCTTCGTCACAGGGAAGGCTAGGAGGATCGGCATCAGGTTAGAAGCATGTGGTCTAGTTCTAGGGATACGTTTTTATTAGCATTTTATTCCACCGGGGTTAAACCGCTTCTTTTCTCCCCTTCTCTATCTATCTATTCAACTTCCTTTGCTCATGGGAACGGACCTGGTGGAGAGTTATCATTCGAGGGCGTTAGAGCTAATAGATGTGTTTAAATATGCCTGATTCAAGTTTCCATTTCCTCCACAATGAAAGCTTCCGATAGAAGCGCACCTTTGTGAAATTATTTTGACCCTGAGCTACTGTTTTGCCTACCCGCTCATCGGCCACAGTACCGTGGTATCATACCTTTTCTTTCCCTGGTGTACAAGTATCATACGATAATAGTGCATAGAATCCCGGCGCCCTTTCACGGGTTGCCGGGAATCGGGATTCGTCAGTCCCAAACGGGGGATAGCCGACCAAAGCTAGCAACTCCCTCGGGACAAGGGTACGACGGTGTGATGTATACGGTACCGGTATCTCTCGCCCCCCCCAATAAGGGTGTGCAGGTGGATATAACACCCCCCAGCGGTCCGACGATGAAGGTCTTGCCCGACGCTCGAAAAGAACCGTACAAGAATGAAAAGAAAAAAAAAAGTGAATGAGATCAAGAGGTCATTTTCGGTTGCTCAGAATAATATATATAGGCCTGAATTATTATTATTATTATTATTCACCTCTTTTTCCCGTTCATGGCTCTTCCTTACCCTTCCAAGGGTCTCCTCATCATTTTTAAATACTACTACTACCATACTACTACTGCTGCTGCTTCCGCAACGAAATCTTTGGCGGATAAGTCATGTGAGTGAGTGAGGATGGTGAATGTATGTACAGTACAGTACTGAATATGGCCAGGCGAGATTATTATTGTGAATATTTGCGCAAGGCCAGATCAGCCTCTACTCTACGAGCACTGTACAGCGATACTTGTAGAGTACTTTGCAACTATCATACATGATATACAGTACTAGACTACCGAAATTTCAATTACCGTACGTACGGCATCTGTTGGATTTAGCGCTTATCTGTCAAACGGACTAGTTTCGTTTCAGTTAGTTTCCTCACCACTCTCTTCAACGTTAGTTACTGTTAGTCCAGAGTTTTTCTTTCATCTCTTCTCCATCTGTTTCATAACGGCACTACCATGCTAGACTATATTCAACTATGGCACAAGTATTACGGTACTGTCTTTTCATTATCCGAGGTTCTCATGTGTTTTTTCTTCCTCTCCGAGGTTTTTGTCAAATTCTTTTCCTCCGAGGTTCTCATGTTACCGACCTCGGGGGGGTTTTTTTTATATATTCCTTTTCTTTCACTTGATAGTTTAGTTCGGCATAAAAACCCCACAGCTGCGCAGGTGGTAAGAAAATGGAGCTTCTTCCTCATTGGTAGTCATATCAATTCACGGTATCTCCAGTTTTATTGTAGCGAGTGATACCCTATGCTGCGTCGCAACGCATAAATTCCAGAAGAGAGGGAGGCCTTGGAAGGGCGCGCCGCCGTCGCCAACGGCTTATAATAGCTGCCACAACCAAAATTTAAATTAAGACGCGGTACTGTACTGTATGATCGTATAGTGCACATCCCACCATATAACCAACATGGCATAACAGCCATCCCTCCTCCAACCCTCCAACCCTTTCTCCCTCCACTCATTCACGACGACAGAACGACCAGACTCACCCTCTAAAGAAAGAGAAAGAGAAAGAGAAAGAGAAAGAGAAAGAGAAAAGAGAAAAGAGAAAAGAGAAGGGAAAGGGAAACTCTGGACAGGAACCCTCATTCGGAAGAACTCCAAAGCATCACAAATCCCCCTCTCACCCACAGCCAAAATGTTTGCCATAGTCTGTCCCGGTCGACCCGGTATCATACTCCCCTTCCGCTCCCCTTCCCGCTCCGGACCACGCTAACACAGCCAAGTGCAAACCCCCCTCCACTCCTTGACCCCAACGACCTTTGTCCACCGACTCCAGCTCCCGATAAACCACATAGTGGTCTTCCTCCTGCCGGACACGCACCTGCCGGTCACCCACGCGGCCAGCGTGCACATACAGTTCCCCGACCAGCCGTTTCGCATGCTGGGCGCTATATCTGCCGCTAAGCCGAGTGCTATCTTTCGCCTCGATGCAAAGGCGTTGCAGGGCGACGTCATGGTTGGGGTTAGCATCGAGGAGATAGGGAGTGTTGCTACGCGGATTGGGGAGGTGAACACGGGAGCGGGCGGCGGGAAGGGAAGGCAGGTCGGGACGCTGGTTCTGGCTAGGAGGATTATTCGGGATGCGTTTAATTTTTTGAGTTCGTTTGCTGCTAGTGGGGCCGTTGGGGAGGAGATGGTCCCGTTGAAGGCTTTTAGTGATTGGTGGGTCAAGTTCGAGAAGAAGGTTGAGCTGGATCCGGGGTTTTTGGAGAGGGAGGGGGACGATTGAGCTGAGAGAATAACGTTCGTATACCCGAGTAATTGTTTAGGTTTTCTGGGGGGGTAATGGCTCAATCCAAAAGTGCTTTAGATGGGGGGAGGTATTTTCCTTGTTGCTCCCAATCCTTAATGACAAAGGTGAGGGTGAAAACCCTTGATACGGTACGGTATAATAAAAATATCTTTTCCTTTTTGCTCGTTCATAACTCTATAACTATATATGCACACATCCCATTTTTGTCGTTCCATCTACAACGCCGGCGGAAAAGCAAATAGGAAAAAAAAGAAATGTTAAGAATGAAGAGTAAAACTTAAGCTCATGAAGGGGGGAAAAAGGGAGGGAAAAAAGGGAAATTAGCTTCATGATATAGGGCTAAAAAAAAAGAGTAACGTAATCAAGAAAGCAAAACGCCATAAACCGCCTGATACAGACGCTATCGTGGAGGCATTGGACTTCGGGCCCTGGCACTACTGCCTCCCCGCGGAGAGATATCCCCACTTCTCGTGGTCATTGGCAATCTCTCCCTGCTACCAATCCGAGTGCCCAATCCAGACCCCACTGCATCGGCACCAGTTCCTCCAATCGGAGGGTCGTATAAAGATCCCTTAGCCCTCCAACCACCAGTTTCATCATCCGAAGATGAAGAGGAAGACACACTGCCGAGTTCAAAGTCGGCGAATTGGTTGTGCCCTTCTTCCATAATCCTCTCGTACGTGATAACACCGTGACTGCCTAGGACCTTCCGCTTCCCACGCTTGCTAGAGATTTTGACGGCTCTCCAGAACCTTCCTCTACGCTCCCGGCCCATCAGGAGGAAGACGGCGAGGCAGAATATGATGAGGAACAGTAGGAGCCCGGGGATACGTCTAGGGGTCTTGTCGCCTTCTTTCCAGAGCGGATCATGCCAGTGGGATTGATCGCTGTCGCCCTCCATGCTGGAATTTGATCCCCCAGAACCCGACATACCCGGGCTGTCGGGATGATGCGATACTCTCTGAGATGCAGCGTACTCAAAATCATCAGGAAGGCCATTACCACCTATAATATTCTTTCCAAAGCCAACGGCGTTCACCTCACCGTCAGGTGGAGGAATCTGGCTCGCTGCGTACAGAACCATCTTTCCCAGCGTCCATGAAACCTCCACATCAGCGATTTTATTAACCGGTTGAAACGAGTCAAGGAATCCCTTCGATTTGGCAGCCTCAATAACTTCCTCGGTTCCGTTGTGGTTCGAATTGCCGCTGGTCTCGAGCCCAACGCGTGGAATGCCGATACCATCATGCAGAACATTAATCAGCCAACTCGCCTTAAAACAAGTTTGCATGGCCTTTTCCTCGTCAACCTTCTTTCCCCACTTTTTCTTCACTACAAGTTCTGCAATGGTATCCCAATCTTGACTACAAAAATCCTTCACCCTTTGTTGATAGGTCGCAAAGTCGTACGCCTTCGCATCATGCTCGGTCTCGAAAATCTCGTGGGTGGTGTGCCAATACTCCGATACACCGACAAAGTGGTTGATGTCAAAGTCAATAGCCGGTGCGTGATCCTCCTTAAGCAGACAGGAAACCTCCTTGCATGGCAAATGATCCTTCTCCAACAATGGATAGGTCTGACTCAGACATTCCTCGAATTTCCCAGTTCCAATCAAATGAGCCTTCTCATCAGGCGCGTCGTCATCACCAATCTTCTTCCCTTTCAATGTGGACTTCAACCCCTTGGGCAAGCACGGGTCCGGCAATTCAGTGATGCCATCACCGGAACTTGCCTCCACCAACGCATCGATATACCTGCTCCTTGCCTGGTTCACTCCGAATCCCAGCCAGGTGGTCACAAACACCTTATAATCCACCGGATCGCCATTCAAATTCCTCATTTTCAGCAATACCAAATCATCAGCGTGTTTCTCTGCTTCCGTTGCATTCGGTGCAAAAGCGATCTGGGCACTAGCCCCCCCCATATCCAGGAACCCGTACGTGTGATGTCCCTTCCCGTGTGCGTGCGTTTCCGGGTCATCGAAACCACCCAATAGGTAGTTTGCCGAAATCCAACCATACAACCCTTCCGTCTCGCCAGCGATAACCTGGATGTGGAGGCCGCAATCGGGGAGGAGAAAGCGTGTTGTCCTACGGGCATACGTGCAAATCTCGTCTAGCAATGTTTTCCGCTGTAAATCCGGCAACAACCTCATTCCAGCCGTAGCGAGCAAGAATAATGGCGTATCGGCGACGGCATCCTTTGGTATCTGGCTAAGCGCATGCTCGAACAAACCCTTCAAATGATCCTCCCCAACCCGCTCCGGATGCTCGCCAAACGTCGAAACACCTGAAAGAACCTGTTAGAAGCCGGAGTGTCGGAAGGGGCGAACTAGCAAACGAACCGGGTTTGATCTTCTTGGTCCATTTCTTGTTTGTCTTTATCTCGGGTAGCTTTTGCAACTCGCCCTTCCTCCCCTTCTTCCGTGTCTCCACGGGATCCTCCCAGTTGTAGATGTGAATACGAGTCCCACTCGAGCCGGCATCAAGTATCACTCCGTCTGCATCGATCGATCAATCAGCAATCGGATCCAAAGGGGGGAATTTGACTGAGAAAAAAAAAGAACCTCACATTTCCCAGTCATCGTGGGCGATCGGGCAAGAAGTTCCAGAAACCCTTCCTCCTATCCAATCCTAGAAATAGAGGATGTAAAGGTTTAGCGGAAGCAAACTCAAAGGGACGGACAGACGATAGCGGTTCCCCTGACCGGGAGGTACTGCGAGAAAGGCTGGATGTATGTAGAGGAGGAAAGGAAGGAAGGAGGAAAGAGAGGGGCACAGTGCTGTAAGCAGCGGAGATTGTGTGAAAAGGGAAAAAGTGAAGAAAAAAGGGCAGAAGCAGAAGGGGAGCGAGAGGATGAAGGTTCTGCTCCGTGGGCACCGCACCGTCAGGAAGGCACAAGTACGAGTTGGGTCGGGTTCGTATCAACGCAACAATGCTGGTATGGTAGCTGATAGGGTGGTTGGCGGGTAAATAACAATAATATTATCGCAATAATAAGCACGGCATGAATAAATAAATAAATAAAAGTAACCCCCTACGGTACCTCCCAACCAACCACAAAAGGGAGAGGAGCAGAAGGAAGGGATTGAATGAGGCCGGAATGGAATCAACGAAAGGAGATTCGCCGCCTAAGATACGTGTATCTCAAGGCGCCGTCTTGGCATTTCAAAAGTAGTTTTTTTATAATCCGAAGTTTCTTTCTTTCTTTCTTTCTTTCTTCGTTCTTTGACAGGGCTGAGCAGGGCTGTGTTCGCATAAACCTCCCGGCGGTCTAGTCTGGACAGCTGAAACAGAGATGACTAAGGTGCCACCATCCCTTACCCTAGTACCTATTGTATTCTCCAGTGACGATTAGCGTAGGTACAGGTACGAGTGCCACTACCAATTGAGCACTCGAGCAGAGTTTCCGTACCATAATACCGCAAAAACTCGCCAAACTCGCCAAACTCGCTATGCAGGGAGGAGATCGTTCCAGTGACCAACCTATTTTCTCTTAGCTGATGAGACCAGCATCATTATTACAGTATTTTATGTGGGAACCGGCACTGATATACAGCTATTCTCAGGTGTTATTGTCCTCCTCCGTCATTTCTCAGGGTAAAAAAGCTCCTATCCAATCCCTAGCGCCAATACCTGCATAGCGAGTTTGGCGAGTTTTTGCGGTAATACGATAGCTAATAATAGCTCCAGTCTAAAGTGTGCACGAGTGCGAATTCGTTATCATAGCACGGGTAACTTGATTAATTAACCCGATCACCGGCAGCGAAAACCTTCCTATGATACCGACGGGCGGGAACAGCGTTTCAGAAACGTACCCTACCGTACGCTATCGCCCTGTGCCTCCAGTCCGAGATGACACTAGTTCACCGGTTTATCACATGATAGTATCATACCGGTATCGAGCAGGGCTGGCAGGAGGGCAACCATCGATCGTTCTTTGAAAGGAAGCCACACGGACCCGTCCACCTTTCCATGACACTACAGTATCATAGTGCCGTATCATGCGCTTTCCTCAACTCACAGCCTTGTAGTCTAATCACTGGGTCCGGCACCATACTCGTAGAGCGAGTGACTTCACCAAAAAAAAAAAAGTCATAAATAGAACTGAAACAAAAATAGGCGAGAATCATACCGGTACGCGGGTACTCTACAGTACAGCATAGTAATCCACCCACAACGGCCAACCGGGAGAGAGGGAAAGAAAGAAAGAAAAAATCGCAACCCTTCCCCTCCCCTCCCCTCCTCCCCCTCATCACCCCATCATCACCCCATCATAAGGAAGCGGGAACGGGAAGGGGAGGACGAACCGAAATGGCACGTGAGAGAGGTGCTTACTGCACGCATGATACAGTACGTACGGTTACTGCGCAACGGATAACCTAAGCGCCAATGCCGGATTTATAACAGCTCCCCGGCTTTGGCGTAAGTTACTTGTACGAGTACGAGTACCGTACCGTACCAGTGCATAAGATTCCGTTCCTTCCCCACGTAATTTCTCCGGGCAGGAGTGGGCGGCAGCTGGAAAATTCTTACTTGAACTTACTCATCCCCCCCATGGAACTTACGTATCGTGCAATCGCACCGGTATCATATGGTGGGGAGTGGTTTAAAATTTTTGTATGGAGCTCTGTGGGAAAATGTGTATGATACCGGTATGACAGCTTAATAACAAAAGCGATCGCATTCATGAAACCCCCCCCCCCCCCCCCCAACCTTCTCCCCTATGGTTTCATAATTTTTGAAGAGTTCTGTAAAGTTTGACAATGTGTTGCCATCTAGGGGCTCGATAACGTATGATAGCATGAGATTTTGGCAGATTCCAATACCAGTAGGCATTAATGCTATTCGAGAGTGAGTGTGTCTTGGGGGAAGGGGTTAAGAATGGATGCTTTTGGCACGGGGTTGCCCATCGGATGAAACCTTTTGATCCAGTACGAGCACTGGATATCTTGGCTTTTGGAAATGTATACACGGTGCGGGTTATTATACTCGTACAAGCAGGAAACAGCAGACCACAGAGCACCGCACGGTGCAAGAACTTAACTCAGACTTCCGGCACGCCACGCCACTCTCGCTTGGAATAACCAGTCATCCACCCAGCCCTCATATCATGTATATAAACAGCTCGCTCGAGCGTGGCAGTAACCAACGATACCCCATGGCGCGCAAAGACAGTACCCCATGCCATATATGTATCCACCAACACCCGTTTCCCTCCACCCCGCCCTCCCGCAACACCCCACAATTTTGCCCATGTGTCTGACAGATGGTTCCATCTGGCAGCCGTTAACGCGAACTAGGTCCCCTGCAATACTGTGCCCAGCTAAAGAGAAGATGAAAAACAAACCCTTGATGCGCCATTTTTATAACCGAATGCAAACTATGTGGGGTAATCCTTGAAACAGAAAAAAGCAGTACGGTAACTCAACGCAGCATGAGAATAAGGGCCGGAGACAACAAAACTCCACAATCCTGAAAATGATGACGCTCCCATTCGAATGAGGCATACACTTGGAAAGGCTCTCTAGTACTCCGAGCCAAACAGCATCCCCCTGGCTGTCTGCCTCTTATCAACCGCCATCAGGAAGCTCCCGTAACTCCAGGTAAGATCGTGGGCTCCCCTCTGGAACCCGTCGTACCTGTCGAATTGCTCGCTCAGTCGGCCGTCAGCCTTGGCGTGGTAGCGGATAACGTTGAGGAAACTATCGGCATATGTGAACATGGCTTGCAAGTAGTTGCGGAAGTCGGGATCGCCTGAGCTGACCCTTCCCAACCCGGCTCTTCCGCTAGGGTGGAGTCTGTTGAAGAAGGGACGGTTGATGCGAGTGATGCGGAATTCACCCTCGTCGATGAAGTGTGTGATCGCGGTGTAGAAAACGTTAGATACGCTTGAGGTGCAAAGGAACCTAGACGGACAATGTTCAGGAATTGCCCGGCGATCTTGAACACAAGGGGTAAAAAAAAACTTACCAAGGATTGCCCTCACTGGTGCGGACGCCGTCGTAAATATCCTCGGCGTATCTTCCAATACCAACACCTCGGAGTCTCTCGTCTTCAGGGTAGTAAGGTGGCTTTTTCTTATTGATGGGATACAAGTTCTGCATTTGGTTGATAAATAATTGAGTACTAGCGAGCACCTCTTCCGACCACGGGGCGTATAAGTCATTCTGACCACCGTGAATGGAGCCAAGCATAATGCTACAATCTAGTCCAGTTCTATGGGGTGTGTGTTTGTATGCCTTCAAGCGCCCATTACGTCCATCCCAGAACCCGGTCTTGATGAAGTCCCTCAACGCCACCTGCTGATCATCATACCATGACGCAGCTCCGTGGTCACCAAGCGAAAGAGCAAGATCCCTCCCCTGTACCAATGCTTTATGCTGAACAAGCGCAGTGAAGAAGTGTGAATCTTGAATTTCCTCCCAGAGGTCGAATCCGATGGCATCCCAGTGGTGAGAGACGTACTCCAAGTCGGATTTGACGATGGATTTCGCTGCAAGATCGGGGTTATAGAGTCTGCTAATCCACTGTAAAGTGACAAGCTCCGGATGTGTTTGGTTAACCACCCTGATAAAGCTCATGAGAGTAAGAGCTCTAAGGGCAGGTCCGTCTCTTTGGGGCCTCGCCCATGATCTATCCACCCAATATAATGAGCACTCGCTTAAACAACCCCTAAACAGAGCAAAGGGGATTTACCCGGCAAAGGGGGCACCATTAACCATGAATTTTGGCTCGCCAAGGCCCCCGGTAGAAAAGCCTCCACTGGGATTAAAGGTGCCTTGAATTTCACCCTGCAAATCGGCGTAACGATCGATTATATCCCTCAACTCCAAATCCTCCGATTTGGCGTACTCATCGATGACGCCTTGAACGGTTATTCCCGCGTCACGAATCCACTGATAGAAGTAATTAGGGTGATCCTTAGAGGGAGAGGCGATAACGGTTCCGGCCGCGCACCCCTCCGTGTTGACACCATTAGGAGCGATATTATCAAGGAGATACTGAAAAGCGAGAGCTTTTTCAAGATTTATCCAATCTCCGAGATCCCCCACGGGCCGCGTTGAGGTTTTGTACCATGTTGTGCCATCATGCTCGTAGAGCAGAGGCTCACTCTTTGAGATGGCGAACTGTCGAGCATCCGTAGTGTGTCCGGTAAAGACGTAAGCAGCCACGAAACTGGAGCAATAGCTCAGGGCAGCAATAGGAACTAGAATTGATTTGGGGAGAACCATTGTTATGAAACAAGAGGGCTGCTTGCGCGCTGGGGTCCTCCAGAACGTGGTATCAAAGATTGGGGTGGGGAAGTTGAAGGAGAGGAAGGAGCCCAAGCAAAGTTCTCCGCACTTGTAAAAGAAATGGGTATCCTCCAAGAAGGAAAAGATACTATGGCGTTCCCAGCAGTTTTATATACCAGAACCCCCAGACGGAGGAGATCAGAGATGGCTATAGCCGGTGCCAATCCATCAAGTTCCCGTGGAAAGACCGCGTGACCTTAAGGAGGGGGAAAAGAGCAAGGGGGCTAGGAAATGTGTGGAGCTCCAAAAGAACTCTACTGGTTGATATGGTAGTATGACACGAGGAATTCTCTCTTCGCCCCCAAACCTGTGGGGGCAGTTAAGAGGCTTTGTATGTCGGGGAAAAAGTGGGGGATACATGACGAGCGGTCGGGCCAGGTGAATGAAGACCGACACTGAAGCTGATGGTCCACCTACGTGGCCTGGAGTCTCAGTCCTTGTGACGCAGGATGTTACTCGGTTCAGCGTTCTCCGGAGGCATCGTCTGACAACCCCCGGGTGGGAGCTCCGTCGGCAGGTGACGCGCAAAATGTCTTGGGAGCGTTGGCAACCCTTCATTGTTGAAAGGTTTTAGGCAGGTGCGTTTGGACCCTGCATCGAGGTACATGTAAGGTACAGCAAACATTTACTCGAGTAGGGAAGGCCGCGATACGAGTAGCCATTCGGGAACAAAAACAAAAACAAAACCTTTCGATTCCGACTAACGGTATGATACAACAGCGTCGGCGGCTCTTTGGTTCGGTTCGCGGAGACAGCTTCCCATAAGCTGTCTTGGCACAGCGCGGGAACGCTCCGTCTCAACGCACGGGTTCTCCAAAGACATTTCGAAGGTAAGAGGCTATCAGCGACCGGACAGACAAATTGTTCAGCATTAACCGAGCAGTTCGAAGGAGAGTGGGGATCCATCGGAGTACCTTTTTTATAAAAAAATAAAATAAAATAAAACCCGCCCCGGACCCGTATGAAGCCCGTATAACGGGGATAAGGCCGAGTCCAGGGGCCTAAAGCCGAAGATTCCAGTGGTCTTGTACGGGCGCAGGTTTGCCTCGACAGTTGGTGTTGAGAAGCATGGCCCCGGTGGGCTATATGAGTGGCATTTCTTTGATCCCAAGAGCGATTATGAGGGATTGAGCCAGGTAATATACCGGTATGGTTCGAAGGACCAGGTATCATATCATAGAAGGCCAGTGCACACTTCGCACCCTGTGCACTGATAAGGCAGGCTGATAGGCATCCTTCCGCGATTACCTGGTACAGATACCGGTACACATGTACTCGTAGGGACCTATCTCCACTGTACTACGCTCCTATGGTATGGTACATATACCGGCACCTTATCGCTTTCTCCACTTCGCCCCCGGGGCCCGTTCTCCCAAGACAGCTCGGCCATTGCAGATATGGCACCGCCACAATACCGTACCGGTATGGCAGGAGCTACCGTACGGTGTCCTCCCTTCGGATCCGAAGGACTGCCACAGAAGAACACCTTCCCCCCGCTTACCCGGGGCGTGAATTGGGCGCCGAATTACTTCTAGCACCCGGGTACAATCTTGGCAACAACAGAAGCATGCCCTCGGGTTTTCCGTAATACAAGTATTATATGATATATAACATTATCATACAAAATTTCGTTTTTCAATCAGCCACCAGAAACAACCGCAACAACCCCCCTACTATACCGTACTCCGAACCCTGATATATGAGGGACATATACGGAGTTTAGCATTACGAAATTTTCCATTTCCGTTGGGAGGTACGGAGCCGGCTTATTTCATTGCTGTACAAAATCCCATACAAACTGGCTGTCTTGGTGCGGATCTTGACCCCTCCTGGAGCTCGGACTTTCAGATTCCGTGGACCGATTCCTGTAGCCTGGCATTTAACTATGCGAAATCTTTAGGTTAAAACTCTCTATCGAAAAAAGAGGGGGGGGCTGTCGAATTTTTCTTATTTTTTGCTGCTGGGTAGATGTGCATGGAAAATCGGCGTTTTGTACGGTACAAGCACGGAGAACCGGGGAGGAAGGGCAGGTTTCTCGTTACCAACCTCGTACCTCGTTTCAAACCCGTGAAGACGGATGGCACCGAGTTGTTGTTACCAACATACCGGTACTTTTCAGATTACACATACACTATTAACTTTTGAACAAGATGCTTTCCTGCTGGAGTGCTTGTTGTTCCATGGCAGCAACAGCGCATGGGCAACTCGGGCGCTACTCTAAAATGAGCAGAACTTCCAGAACCAGCAGCGGTTTCGGGGAGCTACGAATTATGGAAGTCGGTGAAGAAAATTTTGATATCGTTCGGTACTCTTCCTCTCCTCAATAATGCAAATCATCTTCTGGCACCCTACTCAACAGAACACCGCCATCTGAAAAAGGGACTATCATAACAGGTACGCACTGCACGGACCGTGCATGTTCTTTGGGCTAAAAATGGAGAAACCTGAGATTGGTATTTCGAGAGAAAAAGAAGCATACGATAAAAAACGCCCAAGTAAGTAGGTCAAGGTAACTAGCTCAGCTGCACTAAGAATGGGTGGTGGAAAGCGGGAGAAATAATTGAGTCGGTGACTTAATCCCAGCTCTTTTTGATCTCAAAAGACCAGTCAAACTTCAAGTGAGTATTCTTGTCGTCATCCATAAACTTGCTGAAGGCGGTATAGCTGCCACGGAAGAGCATTCCGGAAGGTGCTTCCTCCTCGGCAACTATTCGTAGTTGTTAGCCACGAGAAGCTTCCCCCGAAACTCTCACCAAAGTACGGTATTTAGATGAGGGATAATTGCACTCACAAGTTTTCTCGTAGTAAGGGCTTTCCGGGGTATTTGGTCCGTAACTCCCCTATCCACCGGAGCCAATGGTTAGAACTCTATCCATCCCAAACACCCGGCACCGAATTCCTAATAACCAAGGCGAGTACTAACCATCATTTCCTCGGAGCTATCGACTTTGATTCCCTTCCTCTTCACAAGTTGCAGATATCTCAAACCAGAGATAACTTCATGCTGAACCCGGAATCTGACTCTCATCCGGTATTCAGCGCCCTCCTTAATAGTAAATGGTCTCTTGCTCAGTTCTTCTAAGGCTCCGGGGACATCAAGATTGATGACAACGTCATCGCGACCGGCGATCAATAGGCAGAGTTGGAGAATAACAACCTAAAGAAAGAGGGTTTAATGTTAGAAATATGATCGCCCTGATAACTTCCTGGAATATAGTGAGACCTTTCGAGGGTCGCCGGGCTCTCCTAGAGAACCTCCGGTGCTCCCAACACCGATACCTAGAGACTTCTTCCAGCGGGTGAGAGACTCATCCTCAGCATCTAAAATTCAAAATGAGCTCTGCCCAATATGACCCCAATAGTGTAATCGCTGCTGTAGGCAGCCAGGAGAAACCGGACAATTGGAACGGTGCAATACGAACCTAGCTTCGCGTATTCATCGACTGACTTCTTTTCCCCCACCTTGTACCTGTGTTACGGCATATGTGTTAGCGTTATCCCACTCGAATATTGGCGAAATCATATGCATTTGGGACGGCGAAGCGCCAGACCCCGCAGACCGAGGTGCGGGGAAAGGATCAGCAGGCCCACCAGCTGAAAAAACCAAGAAAACCAGGAAGCTTACCCCTCGGTGGTGGATGGCTTCAGCTCGTCATCTGCGTGGGAAGCCATCGTGTTGGATGTGAGAAATTTTCTATCGTTGTGTTTCTGGGATACTTTTTGTGGGGTATTTTTTTTCTCCTGCCCGGGATGATGGATTGATAACTGGGTCGGGGAGAAATTGTGGGAGGGCTTGGGAAGGAGTTGTTGTTTGCTTACCAGTTGTTGGTGGGGTGAAGGGGACAGGGTGGTCAGCGTCGAACCATTCAAGGGCTGGACGGTTTGGAGAAGGTCGACTATTTATACATGCAATCCGAGAGAATTCCTTTCAGAGACTCACTTAACGGTATCGAGGTTGTTATCGAACTATACCCTCCTTCACTACCGGTATACTGACTGACCGACCAGCATGGCGATTTCGGGAGGAGGATTTCTTTCAATTGTTGGACGTATATAGCACAGAACGCCTCTGTTTCGAGGAACGCACAGGGGGTGGTGGTGGGGGTATTCGCGTTAACCGTGCAGAACACGAATTGCGCAGATAGATTTACTCTGATGGTACCGGTACAGTACCGTACAGTACGTACATCCGCTGTAGGCACAGGATTATTAACCAAGTCATAGGTTTATCACGAGCTCCCACCGCACTCGAGTATGATACTAGTAGTGGGCGAATACGGTAAATTTCCATCCCTTCCTGTGGCCTTTGCCCCGCTGCAAAAGCAGGATGGTTGATTGCCCCATTCAGGGTCCGCTATGCGGGGCGAATTGCCCAGTTGCGGAGATCCCCTTGCCTCCCCCCCCCCCACCTCCCCCTGCCGCATGCAGTACCCGAAGCACTGTCAGCAGAAGAAAGAAATACCGGTACTGCACGCACGAGTAGAGCGCAGCAAGGTGTTATGGTAGCCAGATCGGAAATCCTCTGTATCCTACCCGACATGTTGCCATGGTGGGGGGTAGAGGGGAGAACCCACCTTCCCCCCACCGAGCAAGCTGTTCATATACGGTAGTGGGGTGCCAATGTATGTATGACATGAAAGTGAGGTTGTTAGGTGCAAAGCGTACCTGATTGCCCTAGATGCCGAGTACATACGGGTATCATACCTGGGAGCACTTTTCAAGGGAGGGGTACTGTGCCAGTATGATACCAATAATTATGATATCGTACTTGGCTGGGGGAAAAGGGAACGCGTTAGAGTAGGGTTAGAGCAACAACGAGGATACCCTTCATCATCCGTATGATACAGCATCATACTGGTCACCTTTCGCTGTGCCCCCGCTGGAGGCTCTGCTCTGGACAGGGTTGAGCAGGATGAAGCGGTGCCCACCTTACGGTAAAATATGGCTTCGGACTCTAAATGCTCATACGGGGAAATTGGGGAGGATTCATTACGGGTGCAGGCGTCGTGCCTTGGAATGATAACGGCTTGGGTCAGCGGAATCGCCGGAATGTTTGTTGGGTACTCGAGTATCATACAAGTGGGGCTGCAAGTAACCAGAGCAACGCTAAAGGGGAGTGCTGGGAAGAATAGTACAGTTTCGCGGAGTAACCTTCATACCGACTGCCGCCAGGGATCAGAATGGGCGCGACGCTCCTGTTCCCACCCAGAAAAGTGTTGCGCGCTTTTCCACCCCCTACCGCACAGCACCAGACCAAACCATTCCCGCTTTCACTGCTAACCTTCTCCGCATCGCGTACGGTACAGTATCTATCGCCGTTCTACTCGCATTTCCACTGCTCCCGTCTGCCTCTCTGTCTGTTCAGTCATCCCGGCATTCGATCGGCCCATCTAATTGTTCAACCTGGAACGGGCTTGTGGATCTTAATCATCATATCCTACCTTTGCTGCGTTGCACCCAAAATCCTGCTTTCTCGGTCTTAGCCCTAGCGCAGTTTGTGTCGAAGGAGTAACCTGCTCGCTTCTTTTTTCTCCTGTGCTCCGAGTTCTGCACTCCGCCTTCATACCCATCGCTCCACCACAACCAATTTACGGATCGCATTAACCCAAAGCTATGCCCAGCGAGAAGAAGATCAAGGAACGCTCTCTGCCATCCCAGAGAAACCCGTTGCTTCAGGGAGCTGATATTCCACCTTGTACGCTCTCCTCTTCTGTCGCGCGGCCGTTGTCGCAACACGCATTCATCTCCTCGTCATCACTGCTTCATCGCTGTTCCCCCACCGCTGACCCGAACATGATGTTTGAACCCTGCAGACAATGAGCTCGTTGACATGCGCCGCCTTGGCCAGACCAATTTGGGAAGCAAGAGTGGAAATGACGCGGTTCTTTTTTCCTATGTGCATCTTCGAGCGCCTCTCCCGCAGCCTTTGGGAGGCTCGGAAATCTTTGGATCGGCGGCCCCTGAATCCTACTTCTTGATGCGTAGGAGCCAAGATGGATACGTGAGCTCTACGGGAATGTGAGTCTCGGTTGTTCTTTTGTTTTTTCTCCCTTCTCTTTCCCCCCGCGTTTCTAGGTATTTGTTTCGTCTTGCCGGATGTATATGAGCCGAGAGCCGGACCCGCATTAGTACCTCCTACGAGGCCGGAAGTTAACCCATTCTTGGCTGAGTGTAGGTTTAAGGCTTCTTTCCCCTGGGCGAAAAAGAAGGAGGAGGATCACGAGAGGCAGTATGTGAGAGAACACTTCGAGAAAACATCCCCGGACGAAACCGCGGGAAATTTGTGGATTCACCCCACCGATGGTAAGTCCATCCGTTTTTCGGGTTGAATGATTATGTTCTGGGCGAGGTGGCTAACGTTGTTGAATATAGCCCTAGCTTTGGCCGACGAGTATGTGTAACCCGAGTGCCCCTCTCCCCTCTCGAGTCAACCGAGCTGCATGACTGACACACGTATTCTCTCAGCTATGGAATGAGACTGTGGATTGAAGCCCTACTGGATAACGAGTCTGTGATCCCCTCTGACCATCGCAAACGAAATATTACTCCTCCACCCCCTTATTTCAAGCCAGCCGAATCTGACGCGGGATCCGTTGCGTCCAGCACTGCTCCCGCTCCGCGAAGACGGACTACACGATCGGCATCCCCTAGCAAACGTCTTGGATCAACTCCGCGAAAAACACGCGCGAAGGCAGCCAAGGATAGCCCTTTGAAAAAAGAAGTCGCCCCGATCGCAGAGGCTATGGAAGAAGAGACCGAGGTCGTCACCCTAACCACAACCGAGAAGACGACTCTGACTTCTACCGGGACTGCTCCTGTGTTGACCAACGGTAATGGAATCGAAACCAGTTTAACCACTCCAGTCAAGGGGGAGCCAGCAATAAAACTTCGGGTTGACCAGGAAAGCGAGGAGAAGGGGGATGTTAAGGTTGCAAGGAATAGCGTTAAGCTTGAACTTGCATCTGGCGAACTCGAGCTCCCAGCTGGCGAGATCGCGGCCCCACTTGCGGAGAGCGCACAGGAAATGATCGCTAAGGCCAAGGAAATGGTAGCTGAGGCCCAGCGCCTTGATAGCGGTTCCGATGCCGGCCCCGTCAATGGTGTAGGTAGAAAGCGAAAGGCTGAGGAAGTCGAGGGCGCCGAAGAAGCTGGAGCTGGTGAAGGGTCTGGCCATAGACATGTCAAGAGGTCAAAGGTTCTGGAGGAAGAATTGAAGAGGGAGAAAGTTAAGAATAAGGCGTTAATCGGACTGACAGCAGTCTTGGCTATCGGGTCAGTTTCTTCATCTTGCCGAGCAATCCCTTGTTGAATGGCTTGTGGACTAACAGGCTAACACATGGGTGCAGAGCTCTGTTCCCCTACGTTCTGTAGCGCGGGAAAATTTTGCCAGGTATGGCTTTTAGTTTTGCGAACATTATCATGCCCTGGATATGTGAGGAATGTGATTCCTTATGTGCTAGGGTTCTCGAGTTTTTACGGGTCGACCCTGTTATGACATGCCCATAGTTTTTGCGTTTTTCATTTTTCTGTCCTGGTATAACATTTCTCGTCGACCTTTTTTTTTTCGCTCTCATCTCCTAAACCACTGGAATTTTAAAACCCTATCGTTAGCCCCAGATATGCGCTTTTACTTTTCTGTTTTCCCTTTTCCTCAATTTTCTGATTATCTATTGTCTATTTCGCGGTACCCCTTCGCATTCAGAAGGCTTTGTTAGGGGTCCATCGGCCTTGGACTCTAGGCTCGACCTGTTAGGATTCTTTGTCTTCTATACATTCTCGTCTTGTTATTATTTGTTCTTTTTGCGTTTCTTTTGTCTGGGGTTCTTTGCCTGAAATTTCTTCCACCCTCCCATTCTTAAATTTTCAATCGTTGGTTATTTGTATGTACGCTATAATTCCATTTTACTCTCCAAGTTTTCGGGGTGCAGGATTCCCGTATTTTACCTTTTTTTTTACAGATGTTTCCGGGTTGGTTTGGGCGTTCAAATGTGCGAGCTCCTGTAGCTTCTGTTGTAAGAACTCAGCGATTCCCCAATCATCATCATACTGGCATCGTGATCGCTTTAGCGTCGAAGAATCAGCACCGGCGGGGGTTTTCCTACAATCGCACTGTGTATATGGTCTCCCAATTCGCACCTGAGACCTGTGATATGGCATTCTACTCGGGGCGCCATTGTACTGTTGTGCGTGCTTGCCGTTTCTCAATAACACCATAAGGGGTACTCACACTGTATACTGTTGGTTCAGTTGAGATCCGTTTCAACGACCCGATGGCGGTTTACCGTCCAGAGACTGAGGGTATGTTGGTCCGTGAGGTAAAATGCGAGCATTCGCAGTGTGCGATGGTACTGCACCGCTATCATTCCTCCATAACTGGACTTGATGTGCAACTACGATACGGGGGAAGATGGGGGAATCGAGGAGACGCAGCTCTATTCACGGGACCCGGAGTGCAGTTTGGGGTCGCGTCGGCTATCTACGATGATATGATACCTGTACCGGATCATGATGCTCATATCATATCATGCCAACCTCTAATACGGTGTTCCAACTCCACTGCGAGGGTAAGCCCTAGGGCACCTACCGGTACAGCGGTGGACTTGTTATCAGCCACAAGAGATCCCACCCCGCACAAATGCCCCAGATCATAAAGAGCGCTTCGCTTTGCCTCGGGCCCTCGGTTGTTCCTCTTGAGACTGACCGTACTGGTACCGCAGGTCTACCCTCTCTCCGGTACCGCACTCCAGACGGCGACGAAGTTGGGCGCAATTTGCTTTTGCCCTCTCCTACCCGCATCATGTAACTAGTTCAACCCACTGGGATTGGGACTGCATACCTCAATCATGCTCCTCCTACGCCCTCGCTACCTCTTACCCCCCTCGAAAAGGCTCTTTTCCACCTCTGCTCACCGTAATGCCACGTGGGGGTTTGTTGGACTCGGGCAAATGGGATATCCCATGGCTCGGAATCTACGTGTCAAGGCGCCCGCCGATGATACGCTCGTTGTCTTCGACGTTAACAAGGATGCGACGAAGCGGTTTGTGGACGAACTGGGCGCGACGTCTGGGAACGTTGTTGTCGCGGGCGGGCTCGAGGAGGTCGTGGATAGAAGTGTGAGTTGTTCTTATTGATAATTTGCTTAAAAAGTTTTGTCTCTCTTAGTGATGAGTATCTCCGATCATTATGAATTGTTTCTAAGTCGGGGGGCTTCGTCTTGAAGTTTCCTCTCCGTGATTTTTTCCTATCACATCAAAGCCAATCCTCTGAGCCCTTTCTGAGACCTCTGCCCTTTGCTTCCCGTTGTTGATTAACTTTGCTTCCTGACTGACGTGCTGATGTTAAGGACACTGCAGGACACAATTCTAACCATGCTCCCTGAGCCACAGCATGTTAAATCTGCCTTTAGCTCTTTCCTCGGTGCGGCTTCTAGCCCTGCTGGAAGGGAGCAAAAACTGTTCATCGATTGCTCGACAATCGACATATCTACCTCCCTCTTTGTCGGCAAGTCCGTGTGCGAGTCTGGTCTCAATGGCCGATTTGTTGATGCACCCGTATCCGGAGGAACTGTTGGAGCGGCTGCGGGAACGTTAACCTTCATGGTTGGATCCGAGCCAGCGCTCTTCCCTCGAATCACACGCATCCTCTCCCTCATGGGTGGTCGTGTTATCCATTGCGGACCGCCTGGTGCCGGGTTGGCAGGAAAATTGACCAACAACTACCTGCTCTCTATAAGCAATATCGCTACTGCCGAAGCGATGAATCTCGGGATCAAATTGGGATTAGATAGCGGGGTGTTGAAAGGCCTCATCAATGTCTCTTCTGGAAGATGTTGGAGCAGCGAAATCAACAACCCGGTCGATGCAGCCCAGAAGGAATTCAAGGGAGGGTTTGGGGTTTCTCTTATGAAGAAGGATCTTAAACTTGCCATCCAAGCCGCTGAAGAGGCTGGGGCGAAATTAGCCATGGGCGAGAGGGCAAGGGAGGTTTACGAAGCTGTTGAGGGGGCCAAGGAGTGCGAAGGGAGAGATTTTTCAGTAGTTTACAGATGGCTGGGGGGAGACGAGGGGAAAAAGTAGTGATGTCTGGAATAGTTTACTCCTTCACTACAGAACGAAGGGGAGAAAAGAATAGATTTTCCGAAACAACGTCAGTAGCTGGAACAATGCTTTAATCAAAGCTTTAACGGTGCTTGATGAGGTCGCTTGTCGAAGATGTGTGATTCGGTCGGATCACACGACAGGATCTGCACGAGCCCAAAGAGAAACTTTTTTTGTAGGCTCTATAAACTGCCTCAAACTTCTCAGTTTGGAGAGATATTGGGTGTTTTTCTGTTTTATTTCATTACTGTAATAGTTGTATTTCTTGTCTGATTATGAGCTTTCGGACCTTAAACTATAATATGAGTACAGTCCTGGTGTGGGTATTCTCCGTTTCAAGCACAATTGTGCCCTATGAACATTCATCCCAGATGCACCAATAACTGCGGGAATTCCTTTGCTTTTTTTTTTTTTTGGAAGGAAACGGTTGGGTTCATCGGCTCAACTGGGCACTTTTATATCTCCCTTTGCACAGTAGGACTCCGGCTCTGGCTATGTGGTCCGGTTGGCTGGTTCGGCGCTCTTGGATGGGGGGTTAAAGTCAGTAAAGGGTCAACATTGGAGTGGGATGCTGGTATGATATCTTGCCATCTCTGGTTTATTGAGGGGCCTCAAAATGTACCCCAATGGCACTTGTTTCCGGGAGGAGTTTCGGTGTCATGATCTAAAAGACACGAGAACTTGGGTATGTTTCTCTATAAGTGCTGTGTTATCCTGTTTATTGAGACCGTCTACCTGGAAAGTATGCTGGTGTCATACTTCAAGAACGAAGGAATAACGTCCATCGGAGCAAATACGTGAGAAATTCCAACTTTATATGAGAATTACCTAGTGGTGATCGTACCGTCGAGGCATTGGCAGTTTGCACTACCCTCTCTCGGTGCGGGCATCAAAGTACACAGCCAAATGATTATAGCATTACTGATTTTTCCCACATACCGGTGTACTGGTATTGCGAAGGGCTCTGAGCTAGATTGCGACTTGAAGGAGCCTTTCTATCCAATCTTCCTTTCATGCATGAAGCCCGAAGTATGGGGCAGATGGCTCAATTGGTGGTAAGGAGTGACCGATGTTGGCTCACAACTGTGAACACTGGAAGCTCGATTTGGTGGACTTCACCCCTCATTTGTTAACATCTCGTACGATAACCTGATTTCTCGAACCTCTATTCTCCCGATTCCTCGTCCTCGAGCATTCGAGCATACGATATGATTATCCCCAGGTTTGTCAACTGACCTACGCTTGGGGTCTGATCTATTTGAAACATTGGTGCCGGAGTAGTGCCATCCGTGGAATTGTCACGGCATAAGGTGCATGATATGATACTGATAACGGACGATCACCTGGCGATTGGCTGTTATTGCAAAGTTCTTTATTGAATAGATGAATAGTCTATCTCTAGGCCGTAGGTCCGTTCGATATGGGTATAATACATACTTCCCGGGACTCAAACCCTAAGTACCCGTGACTTACGGCGCAAATTGGGCAGGAGCTGATCAAAATTGGACTGAATCATTGCCAATCGCACCCGAATCGCTACAAGTACTTGTAATTTGTACCGGGCGCTTTTATTATACCTAGCATCACTCCTTGTGTTGGTATCATACACACCCAGAACATTTATTGATCCCCCATCTCATAGCGATTCGACATTCGCAAAATTCTTCATCGTTTGGACGCACCTATCCGGTTTTCGGTCTGGGCTTTTTGGGTAGAGGTACAAGTATCATAGCAGGGTACTCGAGTACTCGGGCACTGTGCTCGGTTGCCTTTGTTTCCAGCTAAGGTAAAGACGCGTGCGGAAGTAACCGTCCCCAGATTCAATCAGGCTTGGCGCCATCATGACGAGGGTCAGTTGGGTTCAGTAATAACTTGGGTCAACAAGCAGTCGGACTCTTTACTTACCCCCCTCCAGACTTCCGGGATCGTCCTTTCATCGACTCCTATTCCACCCACCTTTCCTTTCACCTACTTCTCGGGTCATTGTTACCGAAACTATCTCCACACCGTTTCCGCGCCCATCCCCCAGAAATGTCTTACCTCGCAACTCTTTACGAGGCTAGCAGTGTTCGGATTGCTATAAAAGCGGAATTCCTAGCTGCAGGGGAAACCTCTCTCATTGTCGCGTGTGTTTCCTCGCCCTTGTCTGCTTTGCTGCCCGCCCTATATGCACCTGCTTACAATAGTTTCGAACTGGCCAGGAAATCATCCCACATCGAAGTGTACAAAGTTGCTAGCAGTGGAGTCGTTCTGCAGGAGAAATTTCCCATCTATGGAAGAGTGATAGCTCTTGCAACCTTCAGACCGCAGCAGTCTGGGACGGATCATCTTTTAGTTGCGATTGGCCAAGTCAATTACAAATATTTCACCATATCATGGGATCCTATAGCCAAAAAACCAAAAAACGAACATACGGCCACAGATATCACCGACTACCATACCCCATTATCAGATTCCTTCCTGTGTTTGTCCGACCCAGGGAAAAATATGTTAGGGCTTCACGTTTATAAAGGAACATTCCTGGCCATTCCGCAGATTCGGCAATCGATTAGAGGTGGTAAAAGGTCGCGGACTGGCCTCGATGCAGGTAACGTTGAGGAACCGTGTGTTGTGAGGCTCAAAGAGCTGGAGATCCTCGATTTGAAGTTTCTGTTTGGTACCAGTCTGCCTGTGCTGGCTATTCTTCACAGGCCTCTGATGGCTGATGAAATGGTTGTTGATACGTATGAATTATCGGTAAAATCCGGCGAGGCTACACTCTCGGAGTGGAAGATGCGGGATTTGAAGGGGGGACAGGAGGCTCTATTCCTTATACCTGTCCAGCCGCCTTTAAAAGGGTTGTTGGTCATTGGAGCGACAAATATCCTATACTTTGGTAGTGATGGGGGGAAAACTTTCCGGCCTGTAGACCCTCCTAGGGTGTGGACGGCTTGGGAGATGTTAAGTCCGGAGAGATATATTTTAGGGGACGAAGCTGGTGGGCTTCATTTATTGCTATTACAATTTGATGTTAGCACCAGGAAAGTCAGTCTGCGCTTAAAGAATATTGGAAACGTGAGTTACCATAAGACTCCTACAAGTGTATCGCGTTGGTTAATGGTCTTAGGCGTCCGTTCCAGAAACATTAGTTCACTTGGGCCAAGGACTTTTATTTCTGGGCTCTCATTCTGGTGATTCGCAGCTTATACAGCTGCATGAGGATGAGCCGGTAGTCCGGGTTCAGCAAGTACTTGATAACATAGGTCCGATGATCGATTTTAGAGCCGTCGATTTAGACTACTCGAGGTCTGGCGAAGGAACGCGACAGTATTCGCCTGGCCACATCAGATTTTTATCAGCGAGTGGTGGCCACAAGCAGGGCCATCTAAGAAATATAAGAAGTGGCGTTGGTCTGGATGATTTAGGTGTTCTCGGTGAGATGAGAGGAATTCGAGGTCTGTGGAGCTTACGATCGATTCTTGAAAGCGGGTATGCTATATTTTCTTATTGGGATAGTATGGGTCGAAAGTGAAGAAAGGAAAAGAAAGAAAATACTAACTCTCATTTCCAAATAGCTTTCATGATGTGCTAGTTGTAGCGTTTGTGGACGAAACTAGAATATTTAAGTTCGACGATGCCGGAGGTATTGAGGAATTGGACGAGTTTATGGGGTTTGCGCTCGACCAAAGAACTATTATCGCTCATAATATTGTGGGCGGCCGGTTCTTGCAAGTTACCTCCACTGCAGTTAGGCTTGTTGATGCCGATGGTGGCGCCGCTATTGCAGAGAGTTCTTCGGACGATGGCCTTACTATAACCATGGCAAGTGCAAACCAAGATTTGCTAATTTATGCTATGGGGCCTACCTTGGTTCTCTTGGATCTTACCCAAAATTTGAAAGAGCATATTAGAAAAACCTTTGAGAACGAAATAAGTTGCCTCAACATGCCTGCTTCGCCATCCAGAATCTGCGCAGTTGGCTTCTGGAATATCTCATCGGTTCTAATTCTCAGCGTGGAATCTTTCTCCATCCTATCTCAGGAAGTATTGCTCAGAGATGACAGTATCGCTACTCCCCGTTCCTTACTTCTTGCGAGGATTCTAGAGAATGGACCACCGACCTTGCTTGTCGCCTTAGGTGATGGCAGTATATTCACTTTCGCAATAGATGAGATAACCTGCGCCTTATACGAAAAAAAGAATATAATCTTGGGTACACAGCCGATACGGTTCCAGCCAATAATGAGAGATGGGAAAACTACCGTCTTTGCAACCTGTGACCACCCAAGCGTTATATACGGTAGCGATGGGAGAATTGTGTACGCCTCCATTACAGCCGACAAGTCAACCTATGTTACCTCCTTTAATTCTCACAACTTTCCAGATGCCGTCGTTATAGCCAGCGATGATGACCTAAAACTCTCCGTCGTGGACCCTCTCAGGACCATGCATATTCAGTCGCTACCGGTAGGGGATGTTGTCCGAAGGATAGCGTACTCGAAGGAAAAAAATATCACTGCAGTCGTAACGGTCTCCAGAACTCCTGATCCGAGAACAGGCGACGATCTCCATACGTCTTATATCCGTCTTATCGATAGCGCCACTTTTTCTGTAGTTGACTCCTATAAGCTAAACGAGCTGGAGCTTGCTGAGAGTCTTGCTTCTGGCAGAGTCTGTGGCGGGGACGGATCGCCCTCTGAAGGGTTTTTGGTGGGAACCGCTTTTCCCGGTAGGGGCGAAAAAGAAGAGAGCGAAAAGGGCAGGATCATTATCTTTAACGTGAGCGAAACGAAGCGTATCAAACCCACGGCATTCTATGATACCCTGGGGATGGTAAGTGGAATACAGGTGATTGGAGAAGGAAAATTCGTGGCTGCCATCGGCCGAGAGGTAAGGCCATCACAACGTCTTCCTATTAGGATCAAATTATTAAGCTGCTGCTTGTTTCAATTAGGTTGAGCTTTTTGCCCTCGAACACTCTGACTTTCAGAGTAAATCAGCTGCGGGAAAGTCGGCGAGTGTAACTGGATGCACAATCACCAAGCTGGCAAGATTCAGCACCCATAGTACACCACTCGACGTTGCGGCATACAATGACATCATCGCCGTGGGTGATTTTATGCACGGTCCCTCGATTCTCGAGTATGTGGAGGATAAAGAAAGCAAAAAGATTGAGTTTGTTGAGGTCGCAAGAGCGTATAACCACGGCTGGCTAGCAGCCCTTGAGCTGTTAGATGAAAAGACTGTTTTCTGCGCTGATACGGATGGTAATTTGGTTGTTTGGCAGCGGCAACTCTCTGGGGTCACTGAAGAGGATAAGAAGCAACTTCGGCAGATTGCGTCCATAAAAATTGGGGAGTATGTTAACAGAATCAGAAGGAGTATGTATCCCTATAGCTCTATGCTCACGTACATAATCACTAACCCTTTAAAGTCACTGGTCAGACCTTGGCCGGAAGCAAAGTCCAGCCAAAAGCCTACTTCTCGACGGTAATGCACTCCCAGTATCTAACACAAACGCATTACAATTGCTCTAACAGTTTGAGCAGGTCGACGGATCTATGTTTCTCCTCGGCGAGATCCAAGCTGCCGAGATAGATCTATTGATAAATCTCCAGACCAACCTCTCAAACGCTGTTCAAGGACTAGGGGGCCTCGATTTCCTGAGTTGCCGGGCAATGTCGACATCCCCGGCTAACTCAAACGCAGAACCGACACGATTTGTCGATGGAAATTTCATCGAGACTTTCCTGGATTTACCTGATGATGTCGCGATGGCTGTAGTCAGAGGGAACGGGAAGGCGATCGATGACTTGGGAGTCAGTGTTCAGGACGTGGTGGACATTCTAGAGACACTTAAACGCTTGCGTTGAATATGGTCCTTTAAGAGTTTCCATCCCATTACTATAGTGATTGGTTTTTTTTTTCTTTTCCTTTTTGCTGTCTCATAGAAAGTAAACATATCTATCATCGATACCCCTTCTCGGCGTCTCTATATTATAGCTCTTGAGTGGGGCATTTGCGCCTCTTGGCAGTAATATCATGTCTATCAAAGGTTCCAGTCGTGGCTTATTAGTAAATAGTTAGAGTCTTGTGTCGGGCAATCATCGCCATTTGACATTTCTCCACTTTCAGCCTAACTTGCCCCTACTCCCACCACAAGCTTCCCTGCATGACACCAAACTGCTAACTGAGGAGCCTTACTTTACCGTCCACCACACTTTCCCCCAACCTACCGGAAAGCAAACCAAAAGTGATGGTTCCCCCCATCCATCCATAAACCCAAGCCCCTCCCATACCTCCAAGCCTATTAAATAGCAATACAGCAGTGAGAGGTACGGTATCATCGTACTGTATAATGCAGGTTCCCGGAAATATCGTTGTGCTCGCGCCCCCCCTCCGTCAGCAATGTTTGTGCCGTCGGGCTGTGCTGCTGCGCTGTACAGTACCCGTTGGGAGACTCTCGACTCGGACTCCAGCAGGTATCTTACCGGTAGGGGAGAGCTGTGGGTGTCTATCACGGAAGTGTTCGGGCTATACACAAGTGTCCGGGGTATCTGCCGGTACCGAAAGTGTGTCACTGTCATATTTAAAAATTAAAAAAAAACAAAAAACGAGGGCGATGTAAGTAGTGGGTATATGTCGTGGGTGAGTGAAGTTTTTAGTCGGGATACGTTCGGTGCTGTCCGTCCGTGTTTGGCAGAGTGGAACTAATTCACTTGGAGAAGAGGGCGGAATGGTCTGGCATGTGAGAAGCATGGAGTTATGGGGGGCCAAATTTGAAAAATGTATGACGGATATGGGACGGATATTTTCGTCACGGGTAGGTTTCTCTGCTGTTGTTCACCCGGTGGCCTGGTTTCTGCTTGTGAAGTAAGTCTGAAGGTCAGAGGTACTGTACAGCTTTTTGATTCTATCTTTCTTTGTTCTTCTTCTTCTTCTCCTTCTTCTTCTTCTCGCTGTATTATATATCGTACTTGGAAATGATACTGACTGGTATGATGACGGTAGCGTAATATTTGGAATAGATCATTCGGATCGAATTGGCAGCTATGATAGAATTATTATTTAAAAAAAAAACGGGGTGGCAAGAAATATTCAAGATATATCTCCTCTTAGTTACGATAGCTTCCGCCACTCCACCAACTCCCAACAGAACTCAACCCCGTTTCCAACACCAGAACGGACCGCATAAGATTCCAAGTAAATCAATCAAGAAGGGACTTCCATCGCATCAAATAAAGCCACTACTACTAATTTCCTACTCAAAACCACCTCCAACACCAAGAACGAAGCCGCACAGTCGCTAGCAAATTCAGGGTACCTATCATTGATGGTTCCAAACCGATTGATTGATTGATCGATTGGTCGGGCGGCGCGATACGCGTCAATCGTGCTCGTATTATAAGCCACCTCTTGGTAATATCTCTTTCCAACTTTATACTTGTATGGTCTGCACGGTGCCCCCCCCCCTCACTCCACACAGGCGGCACACGGTTTGATTACGCCCAAAGTACAGTACCGGTATGTCACCCCTTCCCCCTTTCCCCACCTCACCGGACTCAGACCCCGGAGGGAGAGGCTGATAGCTGATAGACTACCGTATACGAGTTGGTATGCATACCGGTACTTGTATGGTAATGCTACCGGAACGCCTCGGTGTCTGCCGGATCACCTCTCGACTTACCCCTTACGTTCTAGGTCAGGTCGAGTGCTTCTTCGTTCGGCCTTGCGCTACGGTACCTGACCTAACCTAACCTACTTGTACTATTGTGCTGGCACAGGTACGGACGAGTATGATAATACTGTACCATACCATAACGCCCTTTCCTTAGTCCGATTAGCTTGTACAGTACAGTACTAGTAAAAGTCTCGAAAAAAAAACTCCCTCCCAAGCCACGTGCCATGTTGTCCGAGTTATGATACTGTACTTGTACTCGAGTACATGTACTCGCGCGGCCGAGTTTGAACTTGGGCACCCAAATAGAGTAGTGATCGCTGAGCCAATCACTGGTCATATCCATTCCACTAAGATGACCAAGATGATTCCATATATCGTACAAGTCAGCTGGTGGGCAAATTAGAATCATCATCGCCGCACAGGCGGAGGTTTATGGAGTCTTTTTTTGTATGATACCGTATCTGATTATAAATTGCATTGCCCTAGATGGGGGGGCTGTTATTGGCCCGGCGATTCCTTACTCTCTACTGTATGGGTGTCCAACTTCAAACTCGGCCGCACGAGTACATTCTCTAGCGTGGTCTGGTCTATCACCCTTCTTCATTCACCCTCGTTTCCCTTTTTTTATTTTTATTTTATTTTACGTCCTTTGGCAGGAGCTGTGCTGTGCACAACCTCCATCATAAAGACTTACTGTACAGTACAGTACAAGTACTTGCACGGCAGTTGGTATTTTCAGTTTTCCCGATCTCACGATGGTTCTTGTGCTTCCCATGACAGGTTAACACAAGTACCGCACGAGCACAAGTATTTTACTTTCACAGTACTGTAGCACCCAGCTCGTTACACAGGGCGCAGGGATGAGTGAAAGGACTGGCACAGGCGATCATAAAGCGGAGAATTGAACATGGTACTGTAAAGTCCCACCCAGTGCGCGTGAGTGAGTGAGTGAGTGAGACTTCAGACCCATGCTGTATACTGTAATAAAGCTCAGAATAATCTAGAACAAAGATGCAGGTATCATAACTGAAAAACGTTCGGAGTTTTTTCACCTCCGATAACGTGTCTATCAGCCCCGAATTGAGACAATGAATGAATGGAAAAAAAAAATTACACATCACAGAACGGAAATTACCAGTAATAGAGGCAACAACATCAGAGTCTGCTAATTAAATTAGCAAGATCCTCAATTTACTACCGTACTCCCTGTTTTTTTTTTCCACGGTCGTTGACAACATTCCCACCTATCCATCCTTCCTGTGCTACATACAAGTGCACTCTGCACTTTGTGGTCATCCAACGCAATAATTTACAGGAACGTCCAATGGATGGATGGATGGATGGATAGGTGGAGAACACACACGTAACCCACTATCGTAAACGGGCTGAAATCTTCACTTTCCCCATAGTCATGGATCCTCCAACCAAAGTCTCCCAATCGGCGGGTCTAACGAAATACCAGCGCCAATGAGCTCAGGATCATCAGCATTTACACTTCTCTTTCTTTCTTAGCAAACCGCACAAACCGGTTTCAATTGGCGAAAGTGGATGGGAGGGCGTGAGGAAGGAATGTAGCACAATCGTGAATACGTCACTCAGCGGGTATGATTTACCCCATCTTCCTAGCTACGTCCATTCCATCTTTTTGTCGAAATTGGAAGATTCGGCGAGTTCCTTAGAAGCACAGCGCGAGCTCGTTTAACGACGGTGGTGGTGGTGGTGGTGGTGGGGAGCTCTCCGGTTCGTTGTGGTGGGAGAAGGATTTGATATTTATATTTTTAGCAGAGAATTTTCACATCGAACCTGTTTCATGAGAACTGAAGGCGCTGGAAGGCAGACAAGATGCTGAGCTGGTATGATAATCTTATAGTAAGGCTCACCAGAGCAACCGTGTTCCGAGCAGAACCGCAAAGGGAGCGAGTGAGGTTCCACAAGGAAATACCCGTACTGGTTACAGTAGAGCAGTATCAGGAGGGCTTCCCAAGTGGCTTTTTTTTCCCGGTTGTGCTACGTCCTCACTTATTGCCATCAGTATTGACTACTATTGAGAGACATACGGAGGCACAGTACTCGTACAGCTCTTAAGTTTTGTATGTTCCACAAGCAAGGGTGTTTGGCTGGCGGCGGGTACTTGACACGAATTGGGAAAGCTTGGTCACAGATTAGGAAATTCTCACTGGAAATTGTCCAATTCGCCGCCAATACCCTCGCTAGCCCAGCACCCCTTGCTTGTAGAGCATACAAAACTTAGGTGCTGTGCCTCCGTAGCTAACATCCCGCGCGGGCTTTTTTGGCAGAAAGAGGACGCACGGGTGCTTGGATCTGCGGTGCCATACGAAGGACACTCCAACTCCTTTAAATCAGTGTAAACTCGCCCTCTTCCCTCCCTGCCCTCTTCTGCTCACCAACTCAGCTGTGTCCCCCGGGCCCCGGTTGCGCTCTTGACACCTTCTCTCCTACAAGAACACGATACCCAGAACAACCACATCTTAGGGCTCCCAAACAAAGAACCCCCGCCAGAAAACCGGAAACCATCACTATGTGTTTCGGAGGGAAAGGCACCACCGGGAACAACCCGCCTATCAGAGTCAAGAAGCCGAAGGTTAAGAAGCCCAAGAAGTCGTCCGGCCATGTACGTTTATAATCAACTCTCCAATTTATCGCGTGATGCCCCACTAACAAGACGAAAACAGCATGGAGGAAGCGGTATCGACGGTGGTGGTGGGGATAGTGGTGGTGGAGACGCAGGCTGCGGTGGATGTGGTGGATGCGGTGGGTGTGGTGGTTAAACATGATTGGACGTCGGTGGAAGCTCGAGGGGCTGAATATAAATACTGTACTCGCGTTGGACTAGCTTGTTTTCTAGTAATGACACGGTCTGATTCTTGACAGGTGCAATCCTCAAAGAGAAAAGGAGAAAAAGAAAAAAAAAAGCATCACAGCCCCCAATCCACCAACCAATCCCGGAAACCCAAAAAAGTTGCCCCCAATAACGTTCACCGAGTGATTCCAAGTGATGCTTGTCAATGTTGTTTGAGGCCCCCGACCATGCCCTTGATATCTTCCTATGGTATGCAGAAACAACCCCCAGAGTACCGTATGGCTGCTTCCGGAAAATTGCCAGAATCAACGTTATGCATATGGATTGGGGTAACACAGCTCAGCCTCAAAGCTTAAGCTTACCGGTAGTGA